GAAGACAGATAAATAGATAGATGTCCTGATTTTTAAATGAGGATGCTAAGTTGGATTTGACACTGAGGCCTTCTATTGCAAGAATCTCAAGTATTCAATAAGAATTTTAAACGTGTAACCACAATAACATCAAACACACCAGAGCCTTTATACAGACATATTGTTAGTTTCCTAAAAGTCATAACGTTCTCAAGTGGGAATCAGGCAAGAACCTTGTTGTCAAGTCAGACCTCCAAGGGTAGCATAGATTCCGTTTGTTCTAAGATTCCAGAGTTCTCCGAGAGACTGATAAAGACACAGGGAAGGAAGTGACTAGAGTGATGAGACAATGCTGACTGGATTTTATGAAAGGGAAGACTTAGAGGCAAAGCAGTTTGTCCTCAGGTCAAAATCAAGATAACACTGGGAACTGGAACCAACACTGCTTCATTTGCGCTGTGTAGAAATCTTCCTGGTCTTCCCTACAGGTCGAGGCCCTATCACTGTCTCAGACCAGCACAAAAAAACATGGGGGATTTGAGTGGAGTCCTGATGCTGGTTTCCATGGAGGAAAAGGGAGTGGAGCAAACCAGACCAGGTCGTGTGAAGCAGCCTGGGGACCCTGCATTTGGTTGGATTGCCAACTAGAAGATAGACATCACAGAACCAAAGAAGCCCAGGGACCTTAATTCTCAAATCAAAGCCAAGACAAAGAATCTCGTTAAGCCAAGTATCAAGCCCTAAGGGGTCTGAGTCTTAATACCAACACAGGCTGTGGTTACAAGGTTAATAAGAGTTGTCTGCTTGCTTTGCAAGAAAGAGGATGCTTGCTTATTTAACATAGCGCCTTTGAACTAGAAGCCCTATATTTATTTTTGAAAGCAAGTATGTGTTTATATATGTTTCTGTCTATCATCCCCTCCTGATGACATGAATTACCTCCCGGGTAGAACAAGACAACTATTTAGTGAGAGCCACATGAGAATATTACTGTAGGACTGACAGGACCAAGAACTTCTGTCTAGTGTTGGGGAGGGGATTACGTAGAGCAGAATATTATCATTAATTACCTTAGACAGAGTCAAATAAAGAATTAGGGTTAATAAATATCATCTTGCCTCTTATCCTAGTCCTCACTAAAAGCCGCATTTCCAAAATCTTTAGATTTTGGCTTAGATTAGATTCCTGAAGATCTCCAAATCCTCTTGAGAGTAGCATCATGCCTCTGAAGGTGGTACTTGAGTTCTGCATGGGAGGTCTGACATCGACAGCTGTCCTAATAGATTTGCATGGCACCCTCTGATTGTATCTTTGCCATCACATCTGTGCCTACATACTGAGCAAATGCACTGTCAATGGCACATACGACTGAACTGCTGAGGTGGAGGGACAACTTCTGTGATAGAGTAGCGGAGGATGGCCCACCGTTTCTGGAAAGAATGATCCATTGCATATATATATGCATGTACACAAATGCATGCATGCATGCGCGCGCGCAGACACACACACACACATACACACACACACACACACACACAGACATCTCAATATATCTCCAATTTTACCTATGTACCAAAGATAAATTTTCAAAACTCCTCTTTATATTTTATTATTCTCAAGTAACCTCCATTCATGCCTGACTTAACTCACTCTTGTTCTATTCATTCCACCTACCTATATCTTATTATTCTTTTTTTTGCCTTATCTTTCCTCACAAATAGCTGTACATGGTGTCATGACTTAATGCCAACTTTACTTTGGTTCTTGAATCAAACTGTCTTGGGAGTCTAAACAGTGTTTCCATCAAGGTCTTCAAGAAGGCTCATTTCTCAGTCTCAAAGCAGGAAGAAAGACCAGGTGAACGCTGGCCACTTCCAGGCGACCTCTCACAGCCAGTATTTTGTGTGTGGGGAAGTGTTTCTTATAATTAGAGCTGTTGTTTTTACACATTATTTTAGCATAAGAACTCTTTTCCACTATCATGGAACCCCAAATATAAAACAGATTGAGGAGATGCTGCTGCATAAGGATTGAAAGCAAGGCAGCTGCAGCCTCCCCTAATCACTTGCCCTGCCCCTCACCTTCAGGCACTCAGCCTTCTCTGCTATATCATCCTACCGACTTTGTGTCCTTGTTCTAAGCCAATGGAGTATCAGAATCAACTTTACAAGTTCAGATTCCTGAGTTTCTGCTTACCTCTACCGAATTGGCACCTCCGGGGGGTGGGGTGATAGCAGAGACAATAATCAATTTTGCATCTATCACCATCCATTTATATTTTGTGGACTCCCATATCATTCCACTAATGATAAACCAGAAGACTCAGTACCTACTGTCCAAGGAGAAATTCTAACGGAGCGCTCCTTGGGTGAGGGTCTCAGTGCCCAGGGACCATGAGAAATAGCAAACTTTGAGACCCGACTAGAAA